GTCATACAGCTTTCTTGTACTGATAAAGTCACAGGGACAGAAAACTGATTAGTGACCAGAGATCAGGGAGAACAGGCCACAGGAGATGGGGGTGACCAGCAGTGGGTAGCAGGACACTCTTTGTGGTGATGGAACAGCTTTATATTTTGATGCTGTGCTGACTACAGGCATCTACACAGATGGTAAAATGGATAGAACCACATACGGGCATTGTATCAACGTCAATTCCTTGATCTTGCTATTGTATCAACACTATAGTTGTATAAAATGTAATCACTGAGGGAAATTGGGTGAGGTTATATAAAATGTAATCATTTGTACTAAAAGACAGGTTAGCAGGGAAATCAGGCCTCTCGGAACTATTTTTGGAACTTCTTGTGACTCTATATTTATTTCAAAATAAAGCTTCAACAAAATAAGTCAGAAGAATTATTCACACAAGAAATAAATTCAAAGCCATAGCATTAAAACATTGTGGTATTAGAGCAAGAGCAAGCAAACAGACCAAAGGAACAGGACACAGGGTTCAGAGTATATATGAGAACTTAATATTCAGTAGGTGTGGCATCGTGGTCTATGGGGAAAGAAGAGATGGGCGCTGGGAAGACTGGCATACTGTATGGAAAATAAACTGGATCTGCACCTTGTGACAAATACGGGATGGGGCAAAAGCAGGTTTCAGTTTGTACAGAAAATAGCATGGTAACTACTAAATGATAATATAAGAATAAACTCTGTGTGTTGTGTACTTACAACTGTACACCTACTTTTTGTCCCACCCTTTACAGTCAGGTGCCCCTTCACAACAGGGATATATTCCGAGAAAGGCATCCTGTGGACCCCAAGAAAGAAGATACCAAGAAGGGTTCCTGGTGGCTGAGTTCAAATTTAAAAAAGAAAAAAAAAAGTCAGAACCTAGCAGCCATTTCTAAACAGAGGTATCTCACATAAACCACACTTTGGGAGAAGCCTGCAGGCTTCTCCTGCTTGCACTGTGCTCCTGCCATCAGAATTAGTCCTTATGAAGGAATTCCTGGAATTGTTTTTCAACTAGTAGGGCTGTCTGATCAGAGCTGTGCAGCTATATCTCCATTAGCAACCTCACTGACCAATCAGAACAGCTCCATTCTGACCAATCAGGAAAGTGCTTTTTGGACCAACCAAGTGCCAAGACTTGGAGTCCTCATTTGCATGAGACCAGACTATCAGGGACCAGGGTCCAGGACTTCTCTCTATAGGTCAGCTAGAGAGAAGGGACTTCCTTCTGGCTTGTAGATTGCACTTTTCTTTTGCACCAAAGACTGAAGACTGTGTTTCCCAGACTGGAGTTGAGATACCAAAAAGGTCTTGTGGGACCATAACAGAATGGGGGCAAAGCAACACAGACCTGAGCAGAGCAGAGCTGCCTTGCGCTGAGGCTGCCTCACAGCCCTGCCGCTTCTTAATCCAGCTGTAACACCAGTGAACTGTTCCACGGCCTTGCTGTATCACAACGGAGCTGTTTCTGCTGAATAAAGTTTCCTTTTTCACTGCACCCAAAAGTGGGGATTCTTGTTGGTATTTAATTGGTGCCAATAACCATGGGTTGACAGTCCTTAGGCAGTTTCATCATTGTGCGTACATCATAGAGTGCACTTACACAAACAGATTGTAGAGCCTACTGCACACACTGGCCATATGGCATAGCTTACTGCTCTGTAGGGAGGAAAAATCATTGGTTGCCCTCTATCTTTCTGGGGTCTTGACTGAGACATCCCTGTACTGAGAGACAGGTTAGCAGGAGAAAAACAAACACTTAATAACACATATACTTCCTGTGTACCTGGGAGAGACTCATGAACACCCAGCAACTCCTCAACATCTTCTGTAGAGATGTGAGTGAGGGTGGGAAGCCGGTTACGGGACGTCAGCAGGAAAACAACAGTAAACGAGGGCAAGGCTGTTCCACGGGTTCACCAGCACTGTCTTCTGCCCTCATGAGAGCGTCTAGAGAGAAGGTCAAGCCCAGCTTCCAGCAAGGAAGAAACCCTTACAAATGTAAATGTCTTTTACAAAGGGTCACTTACACTTGGTTTTCAGAACTTCTTCCCCGTCTGCCACTTCTTGAAAGTAACCAGCCTAAAATAACCCTTATGTCGAAGAGACATATTTAGGGGTGACAAATTCTGTTCCCCTAAGCTCCTAGGCTACAAACCTATACAACATGTTCCTGTAATGAATACTCGAGGCAACAGAAACACAATGGCAAGAATTTATGCAATGTCTTGAACTGTGATGTTATGATGGCTATGACATCATAAGGCATTGGCAATTTTTCAGCCGCACTATAATTGTATGGGACCACCATTCTATACGTGGCCCATTGACTGAAACATCATTTCACAGTGCGTGATGGTAAAAAAAGACACACTCTGGATGAAGTGAAAACCTATAAATTTAAAAGAAAACCATGAAGTACCAAAACCATTTTAGTACATAAAACAGGACAGTAACTTTGTGACATAGGGTTGGGAAACAACTTCTTAAACAAAACCCCCCAAAACACAAATGATAAGTGAATTAAAAAATTGTAATTTGATTATATTGCAATTGAAGATTTGTTTGATGAAGGACATCATGAAAAAAGTTGTAGACAAATGACAGACTCAGAACAGATGTATTTATAATACTTAAAGGACTAGTATTTAGGAAATACAAGGAACTTCTGCAGGTTAACAAGAACAGGACTAAAACCTCAAATATAAATGGGGAAAGGCATAAATGGGCAATTTCATACCAGGGGAAACCTATCAAAGATAAAATGCATGTGGAGAAATGTTCGATTTCATTAGGCACAATGAAATGTAATTTTAAATGAGTTCTTACTTTGTTATCTATGAGGCTGGTGGGGATACAAGGATATAGAAATTCTCGTGAACTGCCTCCTGGCACACAGCTTGTTCTGGACCACAATTTGGAAGTCTTTCAGTAAAATATGTATGTAAATACCCTACGATCCAGAAACCAAATTCCTGGATATGAATCTCAAAGAAAGCATCATAGAGTTCTAAAAGCTATGTTTATCATTGTATTGTCAATAGTGGTAGGAAAATGAAGGTAATGTGGGTACCCACAAATGGTAGAGTAGACATAAAATGTGGTAGATACCTTATGAGATATTGTGCAGCCATGAGAGACACAAATAGGTCTTTAAAGCACAGTAAGGAGATTAAAAATTTTAATGAGACATACAGCATGACATCATCTCCATAAATTAAAAATATGGGCACCCAAAACAATATACATTAATGACACATACAAACAGAAGGACATACATCACACATATTGGAATGGTTGCTTATAGGCTGATAGCCAAGAGAATGAAGTGGGAATTGGAAATAAAAGACAACAAATTAAAAAACAAAACAAAATAGGAGACATTCCTTAACAGCCCAATGATGGTCACTGAAGTAAAAAGGATGAGCTCAATCCTCTGCACCTGAGGTCCAAATCAGACTTCAAGGGCTCACACCAAACACAGAGCACACCGCTAAAGCCAAATGTCATCCTGTCCTCGTCATGACAAAGGCACAAGACCAGCTCACTACTTTGCAAGTTTTCAATGCTAAGACTGTTACAAATGTAAACTACCCCACTTTCTTCACTTCAAAATAGAACTTACATCCAAGATAAAAATAAACTTGTAAGATTCAAGGCTCACCACCTCAAAATTTAAGTTCCCACAGTGATACTGGAATATGGCAAAGCCCAGTTTTGATTTATCTAATTATCAAGATCTTGTAACACTTAGCTATAGGTGGCGATAAGAAATAATATAGTGTATACTCTAATTTTGCTGTTAAGTAGGACTCTGGAGCATTTAAAAAATGAAGATAGACATGTAAACAAATGAATTCTCCACCATAATCTGTAACTGAAGTTAATGAGGCATTTTCTATTTACACTGTTCCACTTTTCCAATTTGAAATGACTATGACCTGTCACTTTGGATGATATCAAGGCAATTTTTGATTCTTCCTACTAATAAAAGCACTCGGACACATTATTTTCATCTTTAAACTCCCCTCTACTCCCTCCTGTCACAACATTTCCAAGTTGTGTGTGTAACAAAATTTCAGAAATGCAGTGAACTTTCATACAACAGCGTTTTGCCATCTCCTCCGTGAAGTCCTAAGCAATTAACATCTGCAAAAGCCATGGCATGTCTTTCTTGGGTCCCAACAACTGTTACTGTGAAAGCCATCAGTAACTCTCACTGAACCCTAAAATCAACAGCATCAACAATACCGCTGCATCCTGCGATATAACTGTAGCAACTGTAACACTGTTGCAAACTGCAAGTGCCTAGCACTTGAGAAACCCACAAAGTGAATCCAAACTTAAAACGTAATTTTAAAATCAGAGGCAAGGCAGGGCTGATTCCAAACATCGCTTCAGAATGTTGGTCCCATTTGTGAAAGGGAATTGCAGGCATCTTCTTAAACCAAGTCCTAGAGCAAAGGGATGAGAACAGGCAGGTGGCTTCTCTAAGATGAAACACTAATAGGCGCCTCCGTACCTTAGGCAAGGGCAAACTAAAGAGCAGTGCCCACAAGTAAGGAGAGACCATATGTACCCCCAAACAAGCACATTACCAGAAAACACTGTCAATAACCACCCACCCATTAGCACTAACCACCCCACCCCGTTTAGACTGCCCTGGAGAGCAGGGCGGTCCCATCTCAAGATCACAGCGTCACCAGAAGCAAATGTCACTTACAAGGCCAGGGAGCCCCCACACCCGCTGCAAGACCCAGGATCCCGGCAAGGGTGCCTCCCTGGGGTCCCGAACCTGCAGGCGCGGCACAGCACTGAGCTTCCAGCAGCAGAGCTCTGACAGCTGGCGCCGCCACCGGAGGGAGCGGGCTGTGACCCTTGACCCCGGGCCCCGTGACCTCCACGTTGTGGGCTCACAACGCCTTGTTGATCCCCCTGGGGAGGCTCGAAAGCCCCTTCCCTACCTGTCACAGCTTCATCTCCTGCGGTGATGTTGTCTGTCGGAGCACAGGTAGACGCCCCGGCAAAGGAGCACAAAGCAAGGACGTATCTAAGGCGACTGTGTATTGGGAAAATGCCGGTGGGAAAACCTTAAGGACCAAAACCCCGGCCCAGCCACCGCTCCCCACCGGAGCTGCAGGGTGAAGCTACTGACACCCCCGCCGCCGCCGCTGCGGTAAATCAGCTGACACCAGCCTCCACTGCCGTGACTTTCGCTGCAACTGTCGCAAAAAATGAGGGGGAGGGAAATGCTCGAGGTTTCCAAGCTCGCCTCGCCTCTGCTGCTACCAGGGAGACAGACCGGAGATAATGGAGTAAACTGTGGGCAAGAGTACACGGTCGCCATCTTGGTTATGGGAAGGCTCGTCTAGGCTCTCTTCTCGCCTCTAATGCCCTTGCTGGGAGGACCGAGGTAGAGGGAAGCATTAAATAGCATGTGTAGGTGTTTGTCCTTTTGACCAGGATGTTGCAAGTTTACTCTTCTGCCCCCGCAACTCGATCCGAGAGCCTGGAAAGTGTCGGCTCTGGAACTTGATTACTCATTTCATTGACTCCCAAATTTAGCAGTTGAAGAAGTGGTCACCCCAGAAGAAGACTCGGCCACTTGACTAGGGGAAGTCTGCCCTTGTGCAACATTCCCGCAGAGCGGAGAGAATGAATGTGCAGCCTGTGTGGGCAGCGAAGATTGGTGGAGCGTGAGCGATGCCTTTGGGGGAGACCCCGGTTCCTCCACCGAACACTGTCAGCGCTGTCTGAGATGTGTTACTTCTTCTCTTCACTCCCCTCAATGTCCCCGTGTGCAAAATAGGCACAGTGACTGCACGGATGTCTGGAGATTAAAGTTGCTCAACAAATGTCAATTACTAACTATGTTGCCTGTCTGCCAAGTATTTGTTGAATGAATAAATGAATGAATGAATGAATGGCCAGCAAGGGAAAACTGGTGCCGTTCTGCTGGGAAATGGTTGTGTGAAAAAGATAGAAAATATTTTCATTCTGCGGCTTTGTTTTTCCTTTACAATCACATCCATGGGTTTGTAGGACACGTAAGAATTCTATTGTGGCTCTCAAAAGTTTCTGTGTATTAGAGTCAGCTGGGGAAGTTGTTAAAATGAAGTTTCTGATCCAATAGGTTGGGAAACTTCAGTAGATTCAGTGGGGTCTGAGATTCCCCATTTCTAACAAGCTTCCAGGTAATGCACATTACTGCTGGCCCTTGGACCACACCTTGGGTAGCAAAACACTATTGGACAAGCCTGAAGCAGCGGGTAGAGGATTAGAACAGAGCAGAAACAACTACTTTAGGCAGGATAATGTCCTTGCTAATTTGAAAAAGGACAGGGAAGTATTGGTTTGGACAAAAGACTTCAATTTACTATGCAACAGTTTGGTATTGAAGGTGCAATTTATCAGTCCTGAAAATGGCAAACTTTCGCTCCCCTCCTGCCCAGCTCAGAAGCCATCCCCCAGCTTCTCACTGCGCTCCCATCAATGTCCTGGGTGGCATGCCCCCTCTTCTTTCACTAGTCCATTCGGCATCCCTTAGGCCTTCTGGCATTCCTCATTTGCTCTATCTGTTCATTTGTCATGAGCAGCTCTGCTTGCCACCATAATGAGAAAAACTAAAAATATTGACCACCAAAGCCAATGGAATACTTTAAAATCAATAATTCTGAAATTGTTTCATACCGTTAGTTGAATTTCTATGGTTTTCTTTGACTTTTGACTAACTACCTGCCTTTACAATCATGTGAATTAGGGTGGGTGGGGGTGCGGGGAGAAGCAGGCAAATGATGTTAAACAGAAGAAACAAATCCCTTCACCTGATGGATTCAGCATACTCATCCCATCTGTTGTGATGATGGCTGCATTGAAGACATTAAATTCATGATCTTTATAAGTACCTTTTGGAAACAGAATGCTTACCACAGAATAGTCTTTGGTTACATTAACACTTGTTTGGCTTGTAAATGACATCTATAAGATGTCTTTCCTAGATAAAGTTGACTCTTGTGTTAAATAGATATTAATCAGACATTTACTGTGTTTCAATACAATCCTAAAGATACAAAGTTTAATAGGAACATTAATGAGAAGCTTTCAGACTGTTAACACTCTGAGCCCTCTTTGCCAAGTTTGCAAAGTGTATTGCATACTTTTCTCCACAATATCACCAGCTCTCTCTCTTTTTAAAAATTTATTTATATTGGACAGGGGTAAAGGAAATGAGAAAAAGAGAGGGAGAGAATCATCAATGTATGGTTGCCTCTGGCATACCCCCTACTGAAGATCTGACCTGGCCCACAACACAGGCGTGTGCCCTGACTGGGAATCAAACCAGCAACCCTTCGGTTGCACTGAACCACACCAACCAGGGCGATGTTGCCAGATCTTATTGTTTGTTAATTTGTTTACGATGGCCATTCTAACTGGTGTGAAGTGGTACCTCGCTGTGGTTTTCATTTGCATCTCTCTGATGGCTAGTGATGCTGAGCATCCTTCCTGGGTCCTCTGTACGTCCCCCTTGGAGAAGTGTCTATTCAGGTCCTTTGCTGATTTATTAATTGGGTTGTCTTCCTGGAGTTGAGTCATGTGAGTTTCTTATATATTTTGGATATCAAACCCTTGTCCGAGGTATCATTGGGAAATACATTTTCCCACATGGTTGGTGCCCTTTTCATTTCACTGACGCATTTCACTCTGTCTTCAGAACTTAGTTTCGATTATCCTACCACACACCAAAACTTCCTGGACTTCCTAAATTCCAAGTTAGTTCTCCAAAAGGCAAAAAAAATTGTTCCTCCGTTTTACAAATTTCAAAAAAGCAAGATTATTGTGCTGCCCAGTGGTCTGTCAGTGACCTCATTATTACCATCGTTTTCAGGTTGTTTCATGTGTGCAGCTATTTTTTCCTCATTTAAGTTGTGTCTGTGGTTTGCTGCTCCCCACAGTGACTAGTACGTTGCTCGCTCCGTCCTTTTCTTAGTGCTCCCCCTGAAAGTCATGTCGTGGTAGGGGGCTTCATGTCAGCGTCCCCCTCCCCCCGGGGGACCGGATAAAAGAGTCCTCACTTTATCCGGATGGAGAAGAATGGTTTAGTACATGTTCTCTGTATGGTTTCGTATGATTAAAACTATGTGAGTTTCCCTTTGCACTTTCTCACATGACATGAACAGCAATTGTTTCAAGACTTCTCTTTCCTGTCTCATGACTTCCATTAAATCAAACCATTTCTTTTTAAGTAATAGGGTGTCTTTTTAAAGAAATATCTCTGTTTGCTCCATATTCATGCTTTGTAAGGAGAAGTGAAGGAGATAAGATTGGGGTGCTCAAGCTCCTCACAAATGAGGGTTTGAGGGCCCCTCCCCAAGCTACCGAGATCAGTGAGGGGAAATTAGGACAGTAAAGGAGAAGGGGGTCAGTTTCCCTTGTGGCCTTGTCACCAGGGACTGTAGTTTGTCCCGTGAACCTCCCTCTTCTCGTTCCTATCAGGATGAGAGGGCCACCCGAGTCGTGGAAGAGCTGCTCCTTAAACCGCGTCTGTCTACAAGAGGATCCACGTGCTCCACACTGTGGACTGTGGACGCCTCGAAGGTGCACTATCCAGTTCCCCGCGAGGACGAAACCACGCCCCAGCTCCCTGGAGAGGATTCTGCGCACTGCTGCTGCCGTCGGCTTCCTCAGGGTCCCTCAGCTTCCCAGCCGGGGTTGCCTGTTCTCGGCACAGCCCCGACGAATGCCTGAGCAAGGTGGAGTTAGTTAGGTGCGCCCTCTTCTTGGCGAGTCCCCCAGTGGATGATCCCCAAGATGGGGTGCCCTTCTTCTCCCCCTGCCTCCTTTTCTTCTTCATCTTCTTCTTTCTTCTCTCTTCCTCCATCTGCTATTCTGACCACTTGAATTTTTCAAATAAAAACATTTTAAAAAGCAATAAAGATTAAACAAAGTTTTAATAAAAGGGGTAGAAGAAATACATAGCAACCGATGCAGTGTATATACCTTATTTTTACATTGATTCAAATAAGTTACAAAATAAACTTGGAGAAAAACTGGAAATTTTAACATTGAATGGATATTTGATAATGCTTAGGAAGCATTGTTAACATTTTAGGTGTGGTATTTTAGGTGTTAACCTTTCAGGTTAACCATTTAGGTGTTAACATTTTAGGTGTGGTATATACAATGATATTTTGGTTAGATTTTAGAAAAGTGAATCCTTAGCTTCTAGACGTGCAAGCTGAAATGTTCACAGGTGAAACTATAGGACGCCTGGCATTGGCTCCACAATCCTCTGGGGTGGCAGGGGCAGTGGCTCTGAGCACTTCAACTTCCCTTCTCATGAAATAGTTCAGCACTTTCTTTTGCTTGTCCCAGATTTAATTCTCCGAGGTGGAAGCCATCATCTATTTAACATCCAGTGTTGGATGCTGTGCTGACCCAGGCAGGCAGGTACGCACACAGTGGGTTCTGTGGTCCAGTCACGCACAGTCTGGCAGGGAGACGGTGACATCACCGTGAGCACAGCACTGTGAGGGGTGATGTGGGTGGTACTTGCTGCCACTCACAGTGGGTCTGATCCTCCCACTTTCTTTTTATTTTAATACGCTGAATCTTGGTGGGAAACACTGTTTTTGACATCATATACTTAAACACTCCCTTGCTGGATGGAATTCACTAACACACATTTTATTTTTACTGAATGTCCTTAATGCCTGGCCCTCAGAAGTACTCAAAGTATGCAGATATTGCTACTGGGGAGAATGGGAGAATGGACGGACTGGGGTGTGTGTGTGTGTGTGTGTGTGTGTGTATACTGGAGGGCATGTCTGAGAGAGGGACTCAAATGCAGTGAAAGCCTCTCTTAAGAGTTTCACCATTTCTTCCCTATCTTACATTCTACTCTGACAATATCTGCTATAGCACCACACCCAAGAGAGAGCTCTCTTTACAAGTGATTAAATGAAGACACAGTTATATGTAGTTATGTGCAGTTTTTCAGTTCTGAAGTATTAACTCCAACCCCCAACACACTCTTAAAAAAAGTGAAATATGGCCCTGGCTGGTGTAGCTCAGTGGATTGAGCACAGGCCTGCGAACCAGAGTATCACAGTTCGATTCCCAGTCGGGGCACACGCCTGGGTTGCAGGCCAGTTCCCAGCAGGGGACACATGAGAGGCAACCATACACTGATATTTCTCTCCTACTCTTTCTCCTTCCCTTCCCCTCTCTTGAAAAATAAATAAATAAATAAATAAATAAATAAATAAATAAATAAATAAAT